ATCGTTAGTTAGGGTTTGAAGTTCGCGTGTTGTTGAAAGGCGCGGAAATATATGTAATAAAGGAGGTTACAGTCAGTTTGGTGGAGTAGCTCTGTTGGGCTTTTACGCTTGGAAACTAGAGCGTCCGGGTTCAAGTTCCTGTCTAACCCTAGCTGGAGTTTCTTTACCACAGACCCGAGGTCAACTCTTCGACCAGGTTTGTAAGATAGCTAACTGGTCTGTTCCTCTCAAATAGCATTCACAATTTTTTATATCCTGATTTCAATATTCGTCTCTAATGTTTGTTTTGTTTTCCTCGAATTGCCTCTCATTAGGAGAAGATACTTAATGATTTTTTTTAATACCAACCATTTTACCTAAACTGCTGCAGAAATGGTTACAATTTTGAGACTGTGTTTATTTTGGAAGGAATCGTGGTCTTGATGTCTTCTATAAAATGTACTCTTCCAGGTGGCTCACCATATCCACGGATGGATGGCAGAAAAATTGTACACTGGCTACAGCGAGGACACAGAATGTCGAAGCCACAACGCGTGGATGAAAAATTGTAATCACTCTTATTTTTACCTTTTATGTCAACATTATTGTTGAACATGAAACTAGTTGCCGTAGTTGCTTGAGTTCTACCATTTAATAGAATTAGTCTTTAGGCGCCTGCCGGCTAGGAGAAGAGATGACATGAGATGCTAAATGAATACCAGTATCAAGAAATTATTATCCTGAATTATTTAGTTCACCAAGTAGCCTAACTAAAACGTCAGCACCACCTACCCCCGCACCCTTTACTCTTTGCCTCTTCCCCGTTCCCCTGAAAGAGATGCTATTCCATTTAAGTTTATCCACCCAACAAGTTTTTCTCCTTGGTCCAAAATTTCAACAATACAAAAAACCTTCAGGGCCGTAGCCACGGCTCAAACACAGACCACTAATAATCACCATTAGGCCACCACGCCTCCTAACGGATGTAACATCATGACTTCTTAATTTATTCAATTTTAGATATGGAATAATGACGAAATGTTGGCAAGAAAACCCGGATAAAAGACCAACATTTACTGAAYTGAGGAATGAACTCAAACAAATGGAAAACCAACACAAGGTAAGCTAATGGCAGATTGATTTTCAATTGTCAAAATTAATTTCAGTCATAAACCAGCACTAGGGATGTTTATCAGGAGTTATAGTGAATCAGCCCAGAGGGCTGTCATTTGCAAAAACTGTTAAAACGTACCATAACCACAATAATCACATCTGTGTAGTGGATTACAACACACGCAAGAAATCAAGGGAAAGGATTGATCAGAACTTGTAGTAAGACCTTTTAATAGTTCTTTTCACGGATAATTTTTATTTTTTGGAATATGCAGAAATTCAACGGGGATGCGAGGCATTTCGGGTAAAAACAACATTGGCCAAAAGTACCTCTCATTCAAGTTGGATTATATTATGCATGATGCAAATAATAAACAATTACCGAAACAACCTATTGGATACTTGCACGGTAAAAGTTCCAAGACCCCCTTGCAAGCCAAGTGACTGTTTTGATTATCAACCTTATTGCCTGACACGTCTGTTGTTATTGGCTAGAGCTTAGCAAATGAGAAGGAATCAGATGGCTTTCCTTCCATACACGTAAATTACGTGTCTTAAGGTAACAAGGACAAACGTATCAAATGACCGATTACTCTTGTCATATTTTTTTCTCCGCAGAGGTTGATCAACATGGAAATGTATGACAAGCAGTTGTACGCAAACGTTGAAGATTTGGTC